CATTAATTAAGGGAACCTGGGTAGGTAGCAAGAATTCGGAGGTATTTGGGACTCACACCCTTCTTGTCTGCCTTTTGAGTTTGGAGAATGGTGTTGGCTTTTCTAAGACTGATCAGACATCCCTATATGAATGCATTTGAAGATGGTTCAGAAACTTCAGCTGATTCAACATCCAGTAGACAGACTACTCAATGGGGCCAGTTCTAGGGAACTACACATGGGCACTTTATTGTTGTTGTTGTTTAGTGGTTTAGTCGTGTCCGACTCTTCATGACCTTATGGACCAGAGGATGTCAGGCCCTCCTGTCCTCCACTGCCTCCCGGAGTTGGGTCAAATTCATATTGGTAGCTTCGATGACACGGTCCAACCATCTCATCCTCTGTCGTCCCCTTCTCCTCTTGCCTTCACACTTTCCCAACGTCAGAGTCTTTTCCAGGGAGTCTTCTCTTCTCATGAGATGGCCAAAGTATTGGAGCCTCAGCTTTAAGATCTGTCCTTCCAAGTGAGCACTCAGGGTTGATTTCCTTTAGAACGGATCGATTTGTTCTCCTTGCAGTCCAGGGGACTCTCAAGAGTCTCTTCCAGCACCACAATTCAAAAACATCAGTTCTTCAGTGGTCAGCTTTCTTTATGTTCCAGCTCTCACTTCCATACATCACTACAGGAAAAACCATAGTTTTGACTATGCAGACTTTTATTGGCAAGGCAATGTCTCCACTTTTTAAGATGCTGTAGAGGTTTGTCATCACTTTCCTCCCAAGAAGCAGGCGTCTTTTAATTTCATGGCTGCAGTCACCATCTGCAGTGATCTTACAGCCCAAGAAAGTAAAATCTTTATTAAAGGGTATGAAATGTGAAACACAGCACCACAGGGGCCATAGTGGCCCATTTCCCACCCTCAGAACTGGTCAGGCCAGCTCAGGGGCCCTCTGACAGCACCGGGAAGCAGCCTGGCTGGTCCCTCCCTGCCTCTGATCAGGAATTTTCTTACTGAAGGAAATTGGGGAGAATCGATTTAACTTGTGGATGTGAGTACTATTGAAAAATATTGAACTTGTGAGTTGCCGTCAAGGCTCAGTGGTGGCTGGGTAGGTTCAAGGTCCCTATTCTTCCTCCCTCTCATTCTTTAGCTTTACATCAGTAGACCTTTAGATGGGTGAGGTAGAAATCTTATAAAATAGTAACAAAATAAATAATAATAATTGATTGGGCAGGTTTTCAAACAGAGGATTCTCCTCCCGAAAAAAGCACACAGGCCCTCCTAGAGGAGGGCAAACATGTGAAAAATAGTGCTTTTCCTACTGGTAACCCCAAAGATGCTGCAGTGTTGTGTGGAGAAAACATTTTCCTGGTGAGGCGGTTGCCCCCTGTATCATAGCCTGCATCATTGTGACAATCAAAAGACTGACCATTTTGTGACATAGGTTCATCCCCAGTACTCTCAGGTTGTTACTTACATAATGTAGGGCTTTTGTTTCCTCAGGCACCAACACAGCTTCAATTAGAGAAGCAATTAGGCAGTATTATTTCTCAGCCTTTTAGCGATTTCCTGCTCATCAGAGGGGAGCGTCAAGTGTTCTGGGAACCGAAGGAGACTCACCACCTTTTGCCAATATTAGAAGTTCAAGGAAGGTAACGGAATAGTCATTTCGAAAGGACCACCATAGCAGGGGCCCAACCAAGACGTCAGCAATGGCTTTCCAGACTCTTATTTCCACGAAAACAGCCCTGCTGGATGTTGTGAACTGTGGAGGTGGGCACGAATGAGAAAAAGTTGAATCCGGGTGGTTTGTGGTTCGTGGCTACCCACGAACTACGAACCACTCATGAACCCTGGAAAAACAAATCAGTTCACTGTTTGTTTTTTCCAATTCGTGCCAGGGCAGAGGAAAACCTAACACTCCCATCCCCTTCCTGCTGCCCCTGTCGCCACGCTCTCTGGTCCTGCCACCTCCTTTTCTCCCCTTCTCTGCCATTGCCGTCTTCAAAGGCAGCACCCAGCTTCCCTTCCGGGAGCCAGGCCTGCTGTTTCTGCACATGCGCGCACCGATCAGGTGATGGGCCAGCACACGCGCAGAGGTGGCTGGCCCAGCTTCCAGATGGCAGCAATGGAAAAGGAAGAGGAGGTAGTGGCAGAATCAGGTTGGGAGATGACAGGGCAGTGGGAAGTGGGGGCACCTGTTTTGCTGAAGCAAAAACTGAAGCACCGGACAGAAAAAGAGTTTGGCGCTTCGTTTTGTTTTGGCAAAATGGAATGCAGAAATGAAAACGTAGTTTTTCCTGTTTATAGGTTGGTTTGGGCTAATCTCCATTGATAATTATACAGTTAATTTTTTAAAGAAAAAAAAATTCCTGCCTAAAGTGGATTCTGTAAAGTCGATTTGAAATGTCCAGCTTCTATTCTTAAGTTATGCTTTGTTCTGTTTTCCTGACAGTGCCTTGTGCATTCTAGCTGAAATCCAGTGCTGTATCACAACCAGAGTGGTTGTCATTATGTGCTGTCAAGTCAGGTCCAACCTTCATGGCCACCCTATGAAGGACCAATCTCCAAAACTGCCCTGTTCTCAACCGCCTGGCCCAGCTCTTGCAAAGTCAATCCTGTGGCTTCTTTTAGGGAGTCTATCCATCTCATATTTGCTCTTCCTCTTTTCCTGCTGCTTTCCACCTTTCCTAGCATGGTTGTCGTTTTCCAGAAAATCCTGTCTTCTCATGACAGCCTCAGTTTCAATTTGTTTGTCTCCAGTGATAATTCAAGCTTAATTTGATCTAGGTGCAATTAGCTCCCTCCCTCCTTGATTTTAGGAGACATCTTGAAATCTGGCTGATTTCACAAGCCTTTCATGGCCTTGCCTCAGACTAATCTTATCTTGAATAACTGGGTTTTTCTTCTTCTTTTTTCTGTTGTGCCTATGAATTTGCTGTTGCCATGATCCTAATTTTAGAGGTTCTGTTTTTTTGTATGTCATCTTATGTCAATTTCTTATTGGTCTTGTGTGCTTATAATATATTACTTGTATGCCACCCAGAGTATTTGGGTGGGATAAAAATATCATTAAATAAATAAATAAAATCTAGAGTAGGTCCACTGAGTCCATGAAATTTATGGAGCGGTTGACTCACCTAATCGGCTCCTAAGTAGTATAAAAAGATGCTAAGTTGGAGGGGTTAGAATTCTGGGAAATGTAGTCTTTGAAAATGGATTTCCTGGGCTGTGAGACTTAGCCATCATTTGAATAAACCAACTGAAACTGGCGGAATCCATTAGTAAAAACTAATCAAATCATTTGTGCTGCCAGGACAATGAGTTCTTCTTAATGTTCAGCCAGGACGTTCTTTGTAATGTTTCTGTGAAATACGGTACTCAGCAGTGATGTAATGGTAAATGTGGAAATGCAAGTGCTGATCATAATAGTCCTCATGGTCAACCCTGCTCCATCAGGAGAATCCAAATATGCAGGCTTCCGATTCAGTTCATCGTATAATCCCCCCCCCCCAAGTAAGGTGTACGTCTTTTATAAAGCCAGTGGTTCTCAATGGCTAATTCAAGGCCAAACCACCATCAGACACTTGGCATTACAGCAATACAGGCTCCAATCCTTTGGCCATCTCATGAGAAGAGAAGACTCCCTGGAAAAGACCCTGATGTTGGGAAAGAGTGAAGGCAAGAGGAGAAGGGGACGACAGAGGATGAGATGGTTGGACAGGGTCACCGAAGCGACCAACATGAATTTGACCAAACTTTGGAGGCAGTGGAGGACAGGAGGGACTAATGTGCTCTTGTCCATGGGGTCATGAAGAGTTGGACACCACTTAACAACTAAACAACAACAGTTGTCAAAGAGAACACCTTCCCAGAAGGGAAAATAGGCTTTGCTCTGCATTTTTTGCATATCGACTTCCTGCTGTTTTCCATGGGTGAAACTGCTGTAGCCATCCAGACAACACACAGTTCTCTCGTCGCTGGAATCAGCAGGCACACAGGCAGCGGATGCTGTCTGTCAGAACTCCAACAGCAGAAGCTGCCTTTGATCTTCCCAGGCAGTTCCAGTTGGCAATCTTCATGGGGATCTTCCCACATTGGAGCACCAAAAAAAGGGTCATTGCCCACTGGGCTTCCCTGGGCTTCACTTTGAGTCATGTAGTCAACTGGTTTTAAATCTGATGCAAACTGTGGAGTTAATAACCAATTAATTTGAATCAGTTGACAGCCAGAGAAGAGGGAGCTTGCGGTTAGCAGCATGTGGTTGGCATGTCAGACTTGAACTGGAGGTAGCTGGGTTCACACCTTGATCCATCATTAAATTTGTGACCTGCTGCTGACTTGGACCAGTTACTGTGTGAGCCTAGTGTTCTTCACATCTTTATTATGAGCATAAAATGAGTGCACAGTTTTGATAATCCATATCCATGTATGCTTCCTAGAACTCAGTGTATGAGGAACATTATAGGTAAAGGTAAAGGTTCCCCTTGACATTTAGTCCAGTTGTGTCCGACTCTAGGGGGGAGGTGCTCATCTCTGTTTCAAAGCCGTAGAGCCAGCATTTGTCCGAAGACAGTTTCCGTGATCACGTGGCCAGCGCAACTAGACACAAAATGCTGTTACCTTCCCACCGAGGTGGTACCTATTTGCATTTGCATGCTTTTGAACGGCTAGGTTGGCAGGAGGAGGAACATTATAGGACCAGTGTAATATACAATCTGCCATGCATGAAGCTCATTTTGAATCATTTCAAATACCCAATTGTTTTATGTTTGTAACATACAGTACCTTTAATGTAAAGAACAGACACTTTTTGTCTAGTTTAAAAAAAACACAAGTAGCGGGTATTAATCACACATTGAAGACCAAGCACCAATCTCAGGGATAATTGAGCAAACTCCACCCCACTTCTCGAGTCTATATTATGATCTGATTTTAATCTGTGCTACCTTGCTATTTTCCTTCCCACAGACTCTTCCTATTTTTCTTTCTTCTGGAAGGCACAATGCAGTGTCAGTAAGAAGGACCTGGTCCTCACTTCTTCCGTCAGTGGACCTCATGGGAAAAAATGGCAGTGGACATCTGAGCATCTGTAACATGGAGACCAATGTGTCCTATGTGGATTTCTACCTCCACCAGCCACTCATAGCTGCCACCTTCATTATCTCCTACCTTCTCATCTTCCTCCTCTGCATGGTTGGCAATGGAGTGGTGTGTTATATCGTCCTGCGGAGCAAACACATGCGGACGGTCACCAACCTCTTCATCTTGAACCTTGCTGTCAGTGACTTGCTGGTGGGGATATTTTGCATGCCCACCACCTTGCTGGATAACATCATATCAGGTGGGCCTCATACTCTTCCTAAAAGAGTTGGAGACATTTCATGTTATTGGCAACGTAGCCTGCAATAACCAAAGTCACCAATCTGAGACAGGAGCCAAACCAAATTATACTTGATAGAGCAGGATTGAAAAACCCCATTGTTATTTTTTTGTGATTAAGTAGTGTGCTTGTATGATGGTTCTGCTTTTGGTTCCCATAATTCCTCAAAAGTCCTCACTAATCCATAACAATGGTTAAACTCTGAATTTTCAGATATTCAAACTGTGCATCTCCCTTTACCTATGCAGCCCTTTGGGTTGTGCATTGGGTATATTAACGGGGAATCACATAAGCAACGTAATTGGCTACTTCCATGACATCCAGTTTAATCCTGGTTACGTATATCCTTCACTGTTAGTGTGGTGTGAATACAGCTAAGATATGTAATTGGCTACTTCCATGACATCTAGTTTAATCCTGGTTATATCCTTCATTGTTAGTGTGGTGTGAATACAGCTAAGATACGTTCTGCTGATTTAATTCTTTGTTCTTCAGGTTGGCCCTTTGGGAGTATTGTCTGTAAGATGAACGGGACCGTACAGGGAATCTCGGTGTCAGCTTCTGTTTTCACATTGGTGGCAATTGCTGTTGACAGGTATGATTTTGTAAAACCTCAGAAATGGGTGGAGAATACAGATTTTCAGCTTAGGCCTAGCTCTTGCCTAGAGTTCTGTCCACTGTTGGCCTATGCTGTTTGTAGCTTAATAGTGCAAGAACATTACAAAGGCTGAGATCTTACTGGTGTTCCTATAAGATCTATGTAATGTGCTGTGGCTAATTGTGGCTGATTGAGGAGGCACAGAGGCACATCTTGGTTAAGTAGTCAGGCACATGCCTAGGTGCATGGCTGAGACATGCCCCAGCACCGGTGCTGGGAAGACTGGCTCAACCAGGACATGAGAAAGATGTCAGCTGGCCAAAATAATCTATGGCAAGTTGCACAAACTTTATGCAAACATCAGTAGGATTTTAGCCAAACCACACAAAGAGCCCGCTCATGGTAAGAAACACAATCATACAGAGACAGGCTAATTCTTCGTTAATGGCTCCCACTTTAGAATCATAGAATAATTGAGTTGGAGGGGTCCTATAAGGCCATTGGGTCCAACCACGGGGCAATGCAAGAACCCAAATCAATGACTATCTGAAAGATGGTTGTCCAGTTTGACCTTGAATGCCTCCAAGCATCGGAGTGAATTGTAGTATGTAGATTAATCATCATAAATAAAGGATTTAATTAAAGAAGAAGAAATATGTGCTAAGAAACCCCCAAGAGTAGATTTCCACTCTTTGGGATTTCACAAAGACCCACACAAACACGAAGGCAGTTGTATCTGTGAGCCTGACCCTTCAGAAATATTTGAAAAACCTTTATATTTATTGTCTGGATGGTAGAATACTTGACTGTATAACTCTTTTGTGAATTTGTGAAATTTGTGATACTGAAATCACCAGCTGGAGAGAGTCATGGAATCCAGATAATGGTGACAGCTGGCTATAATAGAACATCCTTCCTATCACAGGGAGGTACATTTTGATATCTGAGATGGGAGGAATAAAAATCTTGTAGGCATCTTGCAAAATCTTGCAGGTTGACCCTCACACGGTTGCTTTTTCTCTCCATCCCAGGTTCCGTTCCATTGTTTATCCATTTAAACAAAAGCTCACTGTATGGACAGCGGTGGTCATCATAGCGGTCATCTGGGTTCTGGCTGTTGCTATTATGTGTCCCTCTGCTGTGATGCTGAAGGTACAAGAGGAAAAGCATTTCCGGGTGGTGCTTGACTATGGCAACAAAACCAGTCCCATCTACTGGTGCCGGGAAGACTGGCCCAACCAGGATATGAGAAAGATCTACACAACGGTACTCTTTGCTAACATCTACCTGGCACCTCTTTCTCTCATTGTCATCATGTATGCTCGGATAGGCATCACCCTCTTCCACACGTCCTTGCCAGCTGGTGGAAAGCAAGGCCAAGAGCGCCACTCTGTTTACAAGAAGAAGCTCAAGGTCGTCAAAATGCTCATCCTTGTGGCGCTGCTTTTCATCCTCTCCTGGCTCCCTTTGTGGACTTTGGCAATGCTCTCAGACTACGCTGACTTGAGCGAAGCGCAGTTGCAAACCATCAACATCTACATCTACCCTTTTGCTCATTGGCTGGCCTTCTTCAACAGCAGCATCAACCCTATCATCTATGGCTTTTTCAACGAGAACTTTCGTAGAGGTTTCCAAGCAGCCTTCCAGCTTCAGCTCTGCTCTCAAAATGTGATGCCCCGGGAAATGTATTCCCAGCGGGGACAAAGCAATGTTGTTTTACCAGCAGCGGTTCCTCAGCAGCCCAGCCATAACCTTACATCAACTGTTGCAAAGAGATCGACCCCAGAAGGAAACTGGATGGGTGAAACCCAAGTTTTGATGATGGAGAATCTTGAAAAAGCCATGAATAACAATGGCATGGAACAAGACTTGGCATAACCACCTTCAGCTGATTTAGTTGAGTGACCTTCATGAGCTAGTCATGACATTCAAGCCCTATCTAGCAAAAAAGAAAGAAAGAAAAAGAAAAAGAAAAGTTATTTTAGGATTCTGTGGTCTGCACAGAATTCATAATTTCTATATGATATTTGATTGCTAGGAATGTGGGGTTAGGAATGCTTTTCTTACATTAGTATGGATTTGGAATGATTCCGTCATCATCTAAGAGTGATATTTGGATTGCTTGTCTAGCAAGACTTGCCACAGACTAAGTTCTGGATTCTAACAGGATGTCATCTGTTGCCAAGCTAAACACAACATGCATGTATATATGCGCATGTGTGTGGAGACATGTGGATGCATGTGCAAGGTTTATTTTACAAAATATGTGCTGCCATGTGCATACAAGGTATGTGGATAATACTTTTGCAGGTCATATTTCATTTGAATACCACAACATTCAGTGGAAAAAGCTGTCATGGGTTGCTAGAAACTGCTGAATAAACAGAGTCTGCACAACCAAACACCTCATGGCCGTAACTTGGGGGATAACATGTGAATATTTTAAAACAGCTCTTTTATCATTCATAAAGCAGAGGAAAGCTTCCTCAGAATTCCTAACATCCGTACCATTCCTCAAACGGTCCCTTTGCCCCACCCTCCTCCTCTTCTGAAATCTGGTTGGGTTACTGACAAAGGTGGGAGCCCAAACTCTGTGCAAAATACTGTAGAACTTCTCTTTTCAGGGCCTCCACCCAAGTAACAAAGAATCTTGTGCCACATTAGATACTATCACACTGAGGAACGCTCCATCCAGGTGGCAGCACATGGATAGAGGAGAGGACAGGAGAGAAGGGGGAGAGTAGAGGAGAGAGAGAGGAGAGAAGAGAGGTGAGGGGAGAGAGGAGAGAAGGGAGAAGAGAGGAGAGGGGAGAGAGAGGAGAGAAAAGAGAGGAGAAGAGAGGAGAGGAAGAGAGAGAGGAGAGAAGGTAGAAGAGAGGAGAGAGGGGAGAGAAAGGAGGGGAGGGGAGAGGAGAGAAGGGAGGAAAGGGGAGAGGAGAGGAGAGAGAGGAGAGAAGGGAGGAGAG